ATGTTCCATTTCTGATTAAAGCTTCAAACTCATCATTCATAGCCCGTCTCCACTTGGGATCTTTCAGTGCCTGAGAAACGGTAGTGGGCTCAATGTCAAGAGGTTTGGATAGGACAGCAGTGAGATTCATTTTGACAAGGGGCTTGCGGATGTTATTTTTGGATCTAGTCACCATGTGATGATCATGTTGAGGGATTTGTTTCTTTTTAGGTAATGTAGGAAGAGGATTATGATTGGGTGACTCAGTGGGAGAACAAGCATTCAACAAGGAGTGAGTGCTTGATGATGGCATAGGAGAGTCTTGTTGTGAGGCAGGTTGTTGTCCAAGTGATACGGACTGTGTGCCTAGTGATGTGGTCAGGCCATTTTGTGAGACAAGATGGTGTTCGGGTGATGTAGTCGATGTATCTGATGAACTGGGCGGATTTTCAAGTAATGTGAAAGAATTACCCGGTGAGTCATTTTGTGGGGTAGTTGGGTTATTTTCCATATGATGAATTGTGTGAACAATTGGTGATGGATGTTGACACGAGGGAACCCTTTGAGGAGATGTATTGAGTGAGCCACTAGAAACGGGTAGCACTTGAACTGGAGGAAACCATTTGGAGATGGCTTCTATGCTAGGTTGATGGAGATGACTTTGTTGACTTTTAAAGGGAAAAATTCTTTCCACAAACTTAACATGACGAGAAATAAATGTTTTAGATGTAGACATATCAAAACAAATATATGTACTTTGTGTTAAAGAATATCCCAAAAAAACACATGGAATAGATCGCATGTCAAGCTTGTGTTGTGAGTAAGGACGTAGGCACGGATAACATAAACATCCAAACACCTTAAGTTTGGAGTAATTGGGTGATGATTGGAAGAGTTTTTGAAATGGAGACGAAAGATGTAATGTTGGTGTAGGCATACGGTTAATGAGATACACTGCTGTAGAAAATGCATATGTCCAATAAGATAAACACATTGATGAATGAGTGAGAATGAACAAACCGGTTTCAACAATATGGCGGTGTCTCCGTTCAGAGAAACCATTGTGTTCTGGTGTGTGAGGCGGCGTGGTAAGATGAGATATACCATTTGTTGAAAGAAAATTTTCAAGTGAACGGTATTCACCACCATTATCAGAATATAAAGTAACAATTTTGTGTTTAAATCGGTTTTCAACTAGTGCTTTGAAACACACAAAGACATCATGCACATGGGATTTTCTTTTAAGTGGATAAAACCAAATGTATCGTGTATAATGGTCAACAAAAATAACATAATATTTGTAACCATCAACAGAATAAATAGGAGAGGTCCAAACATCAGAAAATATTATTTCTAGAGGGTTTGATGATTGTAAGGTAGAAGCTAAGAAAGGGAGTTTATGACTTTTATTTTTGGAGCATGCATTACAATGTACATGAGACAATAATGAACTAGACAACGGCAAGGAAAATTTAGAAACAATATTTCTCATGATAGGTAAGGATGGATGACCTAATCTGGAGTGCCACTCAGATGAGGTAGTTTTAGTAGTGGAAAAAGCAAGTAAAGGTGAAGATGGACTAGAGGACGGTGAAGTTGGCCACTCATATACACCATCCTTAGGCTTACCCGTCAATAGAGTTGCCCCCGTGTTTAGATCCTTCACCTGAAAAGTAGAGGGAGAAAATTCAACAGAAACATCATTATTGGTACATAATTGAAATCAAATTCTTTTTCATGGAGGGAACACAAAGAACATTTTGTAAAGAAAATAAGCGATAAGGAGTGGATATTGAAGTGGAACCAGTATGTGTTATAGAGAGAGATGATCCATCTCCTATCATGATATCATTAGATCCTGGATACGGGCTATGTAGTGAGAGATTACTCAAATCAGAAGTAACATGGTGGGATGCCCCACTGTCCAAAAGCCACGTAGGAGTTGTGTCATGGCTAAGTGTTGTATGATTTGCTCGTGGTTGCCAAGGTGTTGAAGGCCGATACCCCTGGGTCCTTTGAGGACGAGCTAACTGAGACTGCTGATTAGTAACAAGTCGATACATTGGACATCGCTTAGCAGTGTGTCCTTGAGTACCACATACTTGGCAACGACCCAAATAAGGTTTGGGTTGACGCTGGTCATGAGGAGAAAATGTAGTGGCAGAATTTTGTTGGAAGGAATTGTTGTTGGACGGACGCCGATTTGAACGATTGGAATTATTGTTGTTCCGGAAGGCGGTTGGATTAGCTGTTGCTGGAAGTATCTGTGAACTAGACTCAACAGTTTGAAGAAACACTTCTTTATTTAAGAGTTTTTCATGAAGCTCAGCAAAGGAAATTGTAGTATCACGGGCATTAATGGCATCAACTACAGATTTGTACTCAGTACCAAGTCCGTCAAGAACATGATCAATGAGGTCTTCATCATCAATGGGTTTACCTAGCAAAGCAAGTTCATCACTTCGGGTTTTAATAGCCTGCATGTATGCACTAACAGATTTTGTGCCCTTCGTTAGCCGTTTCAATTGCTCCTTTAATTGTCTTATGTGACCACGAGAGGGTTTTGCAAAGGTATTAGCAAGAAGTTGCCATGCTGTGAGGGAGGTGGTGGCACGGGCAACTAGTGGTTGTAAAGGAGTGGATATAGCACCAAGAAGAGCACTAAAAATGAGACGATCTTGACGTTTCCATTTTGTATAAGCAGGATTTGGTGATGTAACACCATCAGTGGTGATGGTGGTTGTAGGGGAAATATGAGTGTCATCAAGGTGGTGATGAAGATCATATCCTTCAAGAAGGGATGTGATCTGAAGTGAGGTAGTTTGTGTCTGTTAACTTGGTTATATTTGAGAAATTAATTATAAGAAGAGGATTTTGAGGATCTTGTGTGGTGGGAATGATAGCAGGAGGATCATCTGTAGTTGTAGTTGGAGGGGAAGATGGGTTTTCCAAAGCCATGAAGAAGATAAAAAAAAAAATTACCCAATAGGATCAAGCTCTTGATACCATGTTATGAGATATAAACAGCTTGTATATTTCATTAATAAGGAACAAGTATATATACACAATTATATCACAAAAGTAGGAAATAGCTAGGCAAAGAGAAATTATAGAAACCACTAACAAGACTAGGAAACAATATTAGACTAAGTTCATAAATATAATATTATTCTCTAATATAGTTCATCGATTCTGAAATGTTAGTTCATAGATTCTGGAATTTTAGTTCATTCATTCTGGAATTTTTAGTTCATTCATTCTGGAATTTTTAGTTCATAGATTAGATTATGGAATTATAGTTCATCGATTATGGAATTTTAGTTCATATGTTGTTGCTGGGAATCGAACCTGATTTTTTTTTTTTTAAATGGAGATGCACGTTTTTAATAAAACGACGTTGTTTTTGCATCCGTATGCACCATCGGATGCACAACATAATTTGCCCCCTAAGGGCCCCCACACCCCGGCTCGACAGAGCATTTGGAAGGATGTAAATCATAGTGACTCAACTGAACATGAACCATAGGGGTGTTTGGTTGACATGAATATTATTATTATTATTATTATTATTATTATTATTATTATTATTATTATGAGATGAAGTAGATTCGCAACACTATTGCTACTTCATTATGGGATGCTAGATCATTATTATGCTAATAATTTTATTTCAAAATGTTATATTTTAATATGTAAACAAACTAATTTAAATTTTATAAAATGTTTTTTTTTGTCTTTTTACATTTATCAGCTTATCAAAAAGCTAATTTTAACAAACACGTTCAAGCATTGCATCTAGCTTAAAAGCTCTTCAATTTTCAGCTCCTAGCTTATAGCTTTTCAGCTTTGAGCTAGGTTTGCCAAACATAGCCATAGTATGTCAACTAGGTTGCTTGCTAATGAAAATGATACTCTCTCCCATTTTATATGTCTTACTTACTATTCATTGGTCAAATCAACTCTTTCTTCTTTGTTTATTTTTATTAGCATTTTCTTTTAATTTTTTAATTTGATTTTTTGTGTTTAATAGTACTTTTAATGTAGTTTATAAATATATAAAAAACAAACATATTAATTCTAAACTTAATATTATAAAAAATTAAATTGTAAATAAGTACAGTAAAGCCTCGTTAACCAAACTCGATACATAGCATTGGACAAAGGAAGTAATTATTATATATACCTTTTTCCTAATAACAAACGGATTAACTTTTTTATTATTTAATTTATTTATAACTAAAGTATAATCTTTTCGTGTTAAAAAAAAAAATAAGTATAATCTTTTCAAATGAGTATATAATATATTGAGAAAAGTGTTAAATTGGTCCCCTAAGTCGATCGGATAGTGCAATTGAGTCTTTTAACTAAAAAAAAGTTCTATTCAGACCCTCTAAACCTGTAAAATTGTTCAATTAAGTCCAAAATGACTTGTTTAACAGGTTAAATCTTCACATTGTTGACACATGTCATTTTAAATTATTTTTTTAATTTTATTTATTTATTATTAAAAAATATATTATATATAAAAAATATAATAAAATAAAAAACACAGCCACCTAAACAACTTTGTGCGTTTTAAAAAAAATAGCTTTGTATTTTTTTAAATTATTATTATTTATATATAATATATATTTTAATAAACAAATAAATAAAATAAAATAAAAAACAAAACAAAAATTAAAAATATTTTAAAATGACACGTGTCAATAACCTGTTAAACAAGTCACTTTGGACTTAATTGAACAATTTTACAAGTTTAGAGAATTTAAATGAAGTTTATTTTAGTTAGGGGACCTAATTGCACTATCAAGTCGACTTAGGGGGCCAATTTGACAATTTTCCCTAATATATTCTAATTTGAATAGTAATATGAATAGTCGAATACCACCGAAGGCCGCTTGGCCCGGCCTACGCCCCCTTCTGGAGACCAAAGATACGGAAGGATATTTTAGTCATTCACTTCCTACCACCTTATAAATATTCTGCGTCCGCTTCAGCGGATGCTTTACAGGACCACTCACCGCTCTTGAAAATCTTCAGCCTCTGGAATCTTCGCCGCGCTTCATCCCTTCGAATCTCGCGCTTCATCCCTTCGAATCTCTGGTACGTACTCGCAAAACCTTATTCCTTGGTTTGTGATTTCCGATTAAACCGCTCGAGATTTATCGATCCATTTTTTTTTTCAAATTCGCGGAAATTAATTAGCCTGTAATTTTTTTTTTTTTAATTGAAGAATTTTAATCGGCTTTTCCGTTTAAGGAATCTGTTGTTGTGAAAGTGTTTTGGAAAATTTGAGCCTGTTCTTCAATGGCGTCTAATGTGAAGTACGGATTTTACTTGTTAATTTTGAGGGAATATCTACTGTGGTTGGCCGGTTGGCCGGTCGACTTGGAGGTGGTGGTTAGGGTTGTTGGTGTTATAAAATGAAAATGAAAATTAGTACTTCCAATTTTTTGTCCAATAGGGATAAAATTGAAGATAGGGCTATACTTTGTTTCTGTTTTCTGTGTATTGTTCTTAAATCTTGCAAAAATGGACTAAATGTTTATGCTGTTGGTAATTGAGGAAGAAGGGAGTTTAAAGTGAGGAATATAAATCATGAGTTTATTGTTATCATTATCCATGGTTGGGTATGTGGTGTCGATAGAACCTCGTGATATTCATACACTTTCAAATGTATATTTGCTGCTTAACATGATTCATTCTGTTAGTAACTTAGTATTGCAGTCTGTCTACATATATAGTTTTTTCTTTTTGCTTAGTTTCATACTAATGAACTTATTAATGTTTCAGAAGCAACCTTGGTGTTTGAAGATGCCGAAAGATCAGAGGGTGAATTCATTGTCAATCAACCGGGCTAGGGCATCTCCTTATCCATGCAGCTTAAGAGATACTGGCTCCAAGGCTGAAAGCTCTTTGCCAAATGTAGGGGATGAGAAAGAGTGGGAGGAAGCTAGGTGCCCAATATGTATGGAGCACCCACACAATGCTGTCTTATTACTCTGTTCCTCTCTTGAAAAGGGTTGTAGGCCTTACATCTGCGACACAAGCTACCGCCATTCAAATTGTCTCGACCAATTTTGTAAGTCATCTGCTGCGGAACAATCAATACCTATCCCAGTAGCGAATACCACATCGGGGACAGCTTTTCATAGAGGTAGAAAGTATGCACAGTTCAGGTCTCTAGGGGGGAAACAACTTGTTTGCCCTCTTTGCCGGGGCCAGATTGAAGGATGTGTTGTTGTGGAGTCTGCTCGGGCAGTTATGGATTCAAAGCCAAGGAGTTGTTCACTGGAGACGTGCGATTTCACTGGTACATATATTGAACTGAGAAAGCATGCTAGAAACGAACACCCCTCTTTCCGTCCATCGGTGGCTGACCCTAGGCGAGAGTCTGAGTGGAGGAGGTTGCAGGTCCAAAGGGACTTTGGGGATACTCTTAGTGCATATCAAACACAGTTTGGCGATGACTTGGGTGAAGCAGACATTCTAACTGATTTCCCCCTTGATGGGGGTGTATTCGATGTCCTTGATGGAGTCCACTCACAGGCTGAAGATGAATGGAGTGATGACAATGATTTCACAATGGATTTTGAAGTTGAATTCTCCTTTTCTTTTCTGGGTGATGCTGGATATGATTCTATGGGGTGGTTGGATCCTGTTCGTGAATTTATTGTTGCTAGACCAATTGAAACAAGGTCTAGAAGATCAACAGCGACTTCAAATTATTCCAGGGAAGGTTTGGATGCTGATACTGAAAGGATTATTATTGCTAGTCCACCTGAAACAAGATCGAGAAGATCAACAGCGACTTCAAATTATTACAGCGAAGGCTTGGATGCTGCTGATAGTCAAAGGACTATTGCTAGTCCTAGTCCACCTGAAGCAAGATCGAGAAGATCATTACCGACTTCAAATTTTCACAGGGAAGGTGAAAGGTTTACTGCTAGACAACCTGAAACAAGATCGAGAAGATCATTAGCGACTTCAAATTTTTACAGACAAGGTTCAGATGCTGATAGTAGGACTATTGCAAGTCCACCTGGACCAAGGTCGAGAAGATCATTAGCGACTTCAACTTCTTACAGGGATGGTTCCAGCTCTAGACGAAGCACAGACAGACTGCTTGACAGTAGGTCTAGGAATTACCATAGCGATGGTTTTGCCTCCAGACAGAGCACGGATCGATCATCAAGGCGCCGCAACAGCAGCAGATCTAGGTCACAGCGATGGCATCGATGATTATGAAACTGAAAGATTGTAGGGGTTTTCGGCCTTATGTTTGCTTTTATTATGGACTAGTGCTCCTTGATAATTCATGTTCTCATACATAAAATTATCATTTATATTTTCTGGTTAAAGCTCCCAATTTAATTAAAACTGTTGCATTTCAGTAGTACAGAAATAAAATTAGTAGAACTTGAGAACTTAGCGGAATGGCTCGTGTGATGTGTAATCACTCTCCGTTTACTGAACAATTTTACACTCCTTTAGTCCTTTTACATATGATCTTAATTGTCTTGAATGTCAAATTTGCAGAAATAGCAATCTGGTCCGTTCTCGGCTCTATGCTTCCATATTATTGTTGTGTTTTTCACAAAACTGTGACATTAGTTTTCACAAAATATTATTCCATTATGTATTTTAACCATTGTTAATATTACTTAAACGACAAAAAATATTAATGTAATTGTATCGTTCCCCCTTTATTTTAGACTAATCTTAAATTGGGAAAACCGGAAAAAATCACAACTAACAAATGAGAATTAAGGAAAATGAAAAATGTATAAATATGCATCCTCTATAAAATTTATGCTTTCCTTTTTTTTTTTTTTTTTTTTTTCTTTTTTTGTTCAATTTTTTTCATCGTTATAATTTTGCTATAAACACCATTTCCACAGCATAATTCAAGATTATTATTATTATTATTATTTTTTTTTTTTTAAAAGGAAGAAGAAGAAGAATAAGTCTTTCACTCAGTTTTTTTTACCAAATGTATATGTGTTTGGGATAAATTTATTATAGACTGAATTAAATCTTTGACAAAATAGGAGAAATTAAAAAATAAAGGTGTAGTATTAAAAAAAATAAATAAAAGTAAAGGTGTAACTTTTTTTGTTAGTTTACATGAGATTATATCCGAGAACTACTTTTTAGTTACTCGCCACTGAAATCGTCTAGACCACGTAAAATTTTATGTAGTGTATCTTAATTCACATCGTCTATTACGTCAAAAAATTCACATTCCTATTTTGTTTTTAATAGGCATACTTAGGGTGTGTTTGTTTCAAATATTGGAATCGAAATGGTAATGGAAATCAAATACTTGGTAATGATAATGTATTTAAGGAGTTTTTTGTAGTTTTGGTCCGACGACTATAGTGTCACTAACAACTTTGATCCACGACTTTTAAAACTTGTAGAATTGGTCTACGACTATTACTTTCTTAGCAAAAATAGTCCTTCCGGTGAACTCTCCGTCAATTGTTCACTGAAATTTTTTTTTTTCTCACAAGAGTATAATGGTCTTTTCATTTACCTAAACTAATAATAATAATAATAATAATAATAATAATAATAATAATAATAATAATAATAATAATAATAAAACTTAATCTGCTCAGATTACGCACATAGTATACTTTCACCCTCATTATGCTCAGATTAAGTTTATCATTATATTATTATTATTATTATTATTATTATTATTATTATTATTATTATTATTATTTAGGTCATTAGTTTAGGTAAATGAAAAGACCATTATACCCTTGTGAAAAAGGATAAAAAAAAAATCGGTGAACAATTGACGGAGAGTTCGTCGGAAGGACTATTTTTGCTAAAAAAGTAATAGTCGTGGACTAATTCTGCAAGTTTTAAAAGTCCTGGATCAAAGTTGTTAGTGACAGTATAGTCATGGAATCAAAATCGCAAAAAATTCTGGATTTAAGTATAAGAAGTCACTTTGTTGGGTAATAAATAGGAATTAGAATAAAATAAATAATTAATTAAAATAAAAATATAAAATATAATCTCATAAACATCCCAAGGTTTTTTTAAAAACAAAATATAGTCATACATTTTCGGATTTTGCTTTTCTTTCCAAGGGCAAGAAAGGAAAATCGAAGGGATTCGTCGTCTTTCCACAGCAGACGAAACTAGAAAGCTGAACGGAACGGAAGAAGAACGAAGCTCTTAGCCTCTTACTGTTTGTTTATACAACGCCCCTGCTCTACCGTTGATCTTCTCCGCTGGTAATCCTCCTTTTCATTTCACCTTTTTAAATTTTTTTTTTCTACTTCTTTATCAATAGCCTCAGTGGATCTAACAGTTGTTCGACGAATTGCTTCAATGAGTTTGCTCTGTTAATTATAGTTATCACATTCCAACTTATGTTTTCTGTATTTCTTCTGCCGGGTACGGTTTTAATTTGGGAAGTGCTTGTTTGTTAGCCCTATAGAGAAATTGAATAAACTCGTACATTTTCTTTTAATTGATAAGTAAATTAATGCACCAGCATTGCAGCTTTACGAGTTTGAGGTGGATAGAAGCTCCAAGATTATGGCGAGGTCGTTATCTAACATGCTGCTTAAAGGCCTTGCCGGCTACCGAACATCTGCCCTTGTAAGATTCAATTCCTTGTTTCAATCTTGTAAATTTGTTTGTTACTCTAGATGCCCAGTTTTAGATGATACCTGTTTACTAAATTGCATTTGGTAAAGATGCAAACTGTATGAAACACTTATATCTTGTGACTTTTATTTGGTTGGAAAAGCCTGGATTTTCAGGAGTGTATAAATATTAAATACATGGGATTATATTTATTGGCCTTGTGCATTAACTGCTGCTTTATAATTACAAATATATATGTAACAGGGATCCAGATCCTTGTACCAAGCTGGAAATCGGTACTTAAGCTCTGCGCCTAATGACCCAGACACACACGAAGATTTTCGACCTACTAGTAAAGTTGAGAGTTCCGGTATTTCATTGAAGGACACCGTTGAGCAGGTTTGTATTTCAATATATTCTCCGTGAAAAAACATTATGCTGCTCTTGTTTGTATATATTGACTGGTTTTATGCTATTTCAGTTATAAATTGTTCTTTAAGCTTTTAAAGTAAAGCACAGATGTGTTACTTGTGGTAGCAATCTATCTGTAGGATGTCAAAGACAACCCCGTGATGCTTTACATGAAAGGGGTGCCTGATCTTCCTCGATGTGGATTCAGCTCATTAGCAGTGAGGGTTTTACAAGAATATAGTAAGAATACTGCTGTTAAGTTTATGCCCATCTGCATATAGACAATCTGAAAAAAAAAGTGAAAATAAAACACCATATTTGCTTGTTTTTGGTGAAGTAAAAGGATTGTTTACTGATAAAGGTCTGGTGTTATGATTCTCTAATTTAATGTGTTTTTATTCTATTTGTTGCTATTGCACTTTGAGTATTTATAAGCAAATGCATCTTTAAAAGTGCTTTTACTTTTAGCTCTGTTTAAAAGGTTGCCCTATATTAGTCTGACTGCTTTCTTCCTACTGCAGTTTTACATGACCTTAACTTTACAAATTATAGGGATTTTGCATGCCACTATGTGCACTTTTGGCTCTCTTGCACTTCAGTACGTAGATGTTTTCCAGGTGTAATTAACTATATGGGCTTAGATAATTGCTTGTACTTTACACATTTCACGTGATGTGTGAGCTTTGTAATGTTATTTTTACCATTTTAATTTGCTTTGCAGCCTTTTGATTCTTCATCCCCCAACAATTAATATGTTGGAAAACAATTTAAAGTGACATAATTAACCTTAAGATGAGATCTTAAGCACATGTGATCTGAATCAGGTGAACTACAAGTACTGGTTCATGTAGTCAAGTGGAACCAGAAACAGGTCTATAAAGTACGGAGTAACATGCAAGAGAACAAAAAGTCTGTACCGCTTAGCAATGATGATGAAAAAAATAGTGTTCAAATGGATGACTATTATTTGTTTATTTCTTTCTTTATTTTCTTGACATGGTGGTGAAGTAATCATTGATTGAAATTGAGAAAAATATAGAATTGATGAATTGTACTTCCATTGAGTGAAATGGAATGCCTAATTTGGAGGTAAATTAATATGGGAATCTTTTAATTGCAGTCTCTTTGCCTTTTATTGTTGACTTTGTCTTTTACATAAAGCTAGTGGAAAAGACATTTTCATTGATACAATTGGTTTTTGCATATTGCTTCTGTGAGATTCTTCCTTTCTGGTAGAGTTGTGACCTTGATTTTTTGGTGTGCTTAAAAATTGATTTGGTGTCTGCAGATGTTCCTATAAGTGCCAGAAACATATTGGATAGTTATGAGCTAAAGGATGCTGTAAAATCCTTCAGGTAAGTCAATGCTTTGTACTACAACTTGGATATTTCTCAATGAGCAAAACATTGGTTTTAGATGTAAATCAACCGGTAATTGAGTATAGTTGAAGATGCATTAAAGCAAACACTTGTGACCAATTTTTTTTTTCCCTACTGTCCTTTCAAAAATAAATAAATGGTTATTGCCATGGTGGTGGAATATACACGTATGAGCTCTTCTAAACTGTCTACTTTAAAGTTGTGGAATATACAAATGTAGAATTGAGTATATTGTTATAAATTGGGCAAGTGTTGACTCGGCCCAATGTGGTCCAGAACAGTTAACTGTTTTGTAAGGGAGTTTTGAAATAGATTTCTTTTGTATTATTTGAATTGTTTTCCCTTCTTCACTGTCAAACTTTGACTGTATATTTTTACTTCAAATATGTGCTTCCCATTGCCAGAAGATGAATTGTGTTTTGTATATTATGAAATTACTTAGCGTGGGAGGTTTGTTTGATTGGTGTAAATGTAATGCAGCCACTGGCCCACATTCCCACAGATATTCATCAATGGAGAATTCATTGGTGGATCAGACATCATCCTTAGTATGCACCAGGTATGTTGATCATCATCATCGCTTTTGCTTCTTGCTCGATTAAGATGCTGAGAATCTGTGTTTTGCAGAGTGGGGAACTCAAGGAAAAGCTGAAAGACATTGTCAAGGAAGAAGGGAAAAGGGAGTGAAACATAATTGCAGGAGGATACAACATAGACATTGTTTCAGTTGAATAATACTACTACTATGAGAGATTTGAGTAGTAGTATTAGGTGGGAGGGAGGGATATTGCAGATTTCCGAATGATAGACAAGTTTTGAATAATGTAAACATACCCATCCATCCCTGTTTCTATCAACTTGTGTAATGAATGTCCTAATTTATTATTTAACATGCTTCTTTTTTATGACTTGTCTTGATTAAATCATATAATAATCAAGATAACATTAGAATTAGGTTCTATTTAGGAGGGTGTAAGGGCTGTTTGGCAACATAACATGGCAATTCAAATGGAGAAATATGCCAATTTCACCACCCCAATCACCAAAATTCATTTTCACCATTAACGAGCCGT